GCTCGGGGGTCCTGAAATTTACAATTTAAGTAAAGCCCCTGATGATCTTTCTTTCCACGCAGAGAAAATGAGTGTAGTACCTCTGAGTCTGAAGAAGAAGATTTTTGAAATATTGGTTAATTTTCCCTTTGGGGCCCCGCCCTGGCCCCAGGGGTTGGGGTAGGAATCCCAATTTTACAATTTTGAAGCCTCATCTACCAAGGATGATTCTGACCAAGTTTGAAAAAAATCCATCCACTGGTTCTTGAGAAGAAGTTGAAAATGTAAAAGTTTACGCACGACGCACGACGGCCGACGACAGACAAAAAGCGATTAGAATAGGTCACTTGAGCAAAGCTCAGGTGACCTAAAAATTATCACAGATTTTATAGAATACACATCCTATGGTAGACAGAAAAACCTTGCAGACATGAGAATAGTTGGTAAACGAGAATGATGGCATTAAGGGCCACAGGGAGAAAGACATGCAAGGGTAGGAAGGCATGAGGAAGTATAGGAAGCAACAACGGTTCTGAGGTAAACACACTTGAGGCTACTTACATCCCATGAGTAGTTTGAGTCTGTAGAGCTCCTCTCCGTTGTGTTGCCCGTCGTCCAGCCACCGTGGGCACTTGAAGCGTTGCTTTGTGTCTCTGTGATGGTGGGAGATGACCGTCCACTGCTGCTTGGTGTTCCATGGTAGCTATGGAGATTTAAAAAGAGGTCAAGGTCACAAAGATGCATTATTGTATCAAGGGAGATGAAAATTATGTCAAGATCACAAGGAGGTACCATTGTAGCTATGGAGATACAATAAAAGTCAAGGTCACAAGGAGGTACCATTGTAGCTATGGAGATACAATAAATGTCAAGGTCATAAAAAGGTATCATCGTAGCTATGGAGATACAATAAATGTCAAGGTCACAAAGAGGTATCATTGTAGCTATGGAGATGCAATAAATGTCAAGGTCACAAGGAGGTAGCAATGTAGCTATGGAGATACAATAAATGTCAAGGTCACAATGAGGTATCATTGTAGCTATGGAGATACAATAAATGTCAAGGTCACAAAGAGGTATCATTGTAGCTATGAAGATACAATAAAGGTCATAGACTTTTGGTAATGATAATTTGATTATATGGAATGACAAACAGTGATGACAGTGAGATACTGGTATAGACTTACTTTGTGATAGCGTTTTCTACACTGGACAGATAATCTGGGGGAAGGCCCATATGGTTGATATCAAGGACACCTGGTACTACGGATGCCAAGCCTCTTCTGCAAAAAAAATAAATAAATATTTATTTGCTTAGCAATCAATACTAGATGATATTTGGTAACAATGGTTAAAATTAATCGATAACTAGTTTGAATGGTACACAAAACGCATCCAATGATAAAAGTAAGGTAATTCTCAATTACAACCTGATTACGGTTTTAAAGGGAAATGACAGAATAATATGTACTGAAACATAAAACTCTCAGTCAGTTCTGTGAAGCTGTTGTGTATTGTTTTATGGCCCATTGACAATTTATATCATTTCGGGTCAAACAACACCATATATGAATTTTGTAAATAGAAACCTGACTACAATGTACATAAACACCTGTATAAAGGGTATTATGTGATACTGATCAACTCATTCTCACTTTTACTCTAGTTTTACCAACATGTTGTGAATTATGATGTCGGTAAAGGCAGGTTTCACTGTCTAGAGGCCTGATACATGACATGGGGCTAAACTGGAGGAAAGGAAAAGTCAGCTAACACTGCATCAGTAACAGACACCAGAGGTATACATTAATGATGACTGTAACGTAGGGACATGACAAATGTCTATTGACTCATCAAATTAACATACAAGACAAAAAAAATCACAGAGCAGACTTAATTGTCATGCCATAGTCACATTTCCGTATTTACACAGCAAGACTACCGGTATTTTATTCAAGCAAACCTACTGAACGTAGCATTATATTTATTATTTAAAGAAGGATTCAAAACTTTAATGAGAGGAAAGAAATTATGATTGAAGACATTGGCTGGCCATTTTGGCGACAATAGTGTTTTGATAGACTGACTTTGTGTCCCCTTACAATGTCACATGAGATCCTGCATCTTATACCGACAGACTGGTGTCATAACAGGCACGCTGGTACACGTCCATACCCTGATCTTACCAAGGATAACACGGGGATTTAAATGGTCACACCTAGTTACATCCCACCCAGATACATCATTACCCACACGGACATGGTTCATTGAATCTCCATTAATTAACTGTCAAATGGACACCAAACATTGTAAATGAAGTGAGGTTTGTCAGCCGGATGTATTTACAGGTATCTATCGTGTCACTCCGTAACCAACATACACTAGGCGTGTCAATCCGTCAACACCAATCATATGCGAGTGACAAATCTACATCAGACTTGTTTTTTCTATTTCTAGTGTAAAAAAAAGTGCTAGATTATGATCAGTTGTGCGACTAAGAGTCTAATTGTTGTGGTTTACCTAATAGATCCTGTACAGACAAGGCCCAAACCGTTGGCCAGCATATATACATTGTCTCTAATGAGAAATCGTGATTTATATGTAACAGGACTAGTAAATAGCCCATATGTACATTTGACATGATACCTCAGCCCAAGCAATCCATCTCCTAACACAACTAGCCGTTTATGTTACAATTCATTCTATTGACCTGTTCACCACACAAAACATAATGATCATTGTTATCAAACATTTGTTGGAATACATTCAAAATACCAGAAACAGAAAGCATGCAATAAAACTTTCGAGCACAGCATGCAATGTTATCTGAATGATCTCACTAAATACATGACTGCTCTGATGGATGTTTTTTTTTTTACAAAAGTACAATTCAGGATTCAAATGACTTAAAAGTTTGATGTAATTTTGTCAGTATAGAAACACTTAATGTCACCAGTGATGTGGGCAATGTGAAGCCACATGATGTAGACAAACAGCCACCCAGGGTTTAGGCCTTTAACAATGGGGTGTCGGACACAACCTCTCATTCCTAATTTACTTTTTGACTTTACAAACTAAATTCAAGAGCATTTTATTAAGTAAGATACTATCAATAGATGAAAGAAGCATGCATGTTAGGTAAATTGGATAACTCCTGACCAGCCTTAAGACCTTTGTCTGTCTGAGCCTTTGAAGATTGTAATAAAACAGTAACATTAGGACTTGAAATAAATTATAATCCTTTCAGAACTATCCACATGCACCTCTAGAATGTCCAGAAAGTAGCTTGTGTTTAACTAGACAAGAGAAATATATGAGAAGTAGAACCCTGAAAAGCCCTATATCTTGAGTGAATGACTTATATTAGAGATGTTGGTTATAAAATCCAGGAAATGTAAACAATAGCAGGTACCGCTTGTGAGAAATCACAGCTTATACCCTAGTAATGGGCAATAAAGATCGGTCAGTGTGTCGGTCACCTGGACTACAAGTCCGGCCTTCATCGTCATACATGGAGAGGTTATACCTGGGTTTACTGTGATCCCTGCTGTCCATGGGTATTACCCAGTAATCAGTCAACAGTCAGCCTAGCAGCCTGTTTGTTTACAACTTGGTCAGGCTAAACGCCCTTTGATGGACAAGTACATGAGTATCGCCTTTTGCCTGCTATAATGAAGCAGGTTACTAATTCTTCTTTGCATTCATAGATTACTGGTCGATACATTGACCACTCCTTATCTGCAGTTACATGGTGACACGGGGCCGGCTAAATACTTGAGGACCTCATAAGCCAGAATTTCTGACCAATGGGAAATCCACAAACTTATCCTTCTAATTGATGGGAACCTCAGAAGGCAGAACTAAATCTAACCCATGGTACTGACCCATAAGCTGGAACTTCTAACTGAAGGAAAGCCAATTGCAACCAGCCATGATTTCTAACCGATGAAAATATTATTATTACAACTCATGGGTACACAATGAGCCATGGTTTCTGACCAATGAAAATCAAATGAGCTAGAAATTTTAACTGACAGAAGTCCATGATCATGAACTTTTAAGTGATGGAACCCCATAAACCAGTATTTCTGACTAATGGGAACCCGAAGGATTCTCATTTGTTACAGAAGTTTTCTCTAAGTACAAGGGGCATTAAAAACAAATTTGGCAGGATTTTCTGTCAACCAATAAAGGTTATCATTTCAACAATAGCCAATAGGCCATGTTTATTGTCACCAAATATCAGCCATAGTATCCAAGACATCATTTTATAGCCTCCAAATATTTAAACTTCACAAGACATAAACCTGCTGTTAATCCAGGCATATACCAATGTTTGGGCAAGGTATCCATAGCTGTGTACATCACACCATTCAAGTCCTCCCAACCTTTACCCACTTGTCTCCTGTTGAAGCTATTAGTGATTGTTTGAAAAGTTAAAATGCAAATCTAGCTACTCAGTGTATAAAGGTTTTAATCATTTGTGAAATCAGAAGAAAAAAGAATCATAGAAATATTTATATTTGATTTTTATGCTAATTTATTGACTTCTTAATTACTTTTAGGGATAAACATCATGGCAAAATCTATAAATGTTAATATGCTCACAAAGAGTACCCTAAAATGCCTTAGTTTAAGCTACTATATAAGAGCTCATTCTCTTCATACACAAGTAAAAATATCAGGAGTCTCCCTCTAAAATAAGTGAGTTAGAAATTAATTCTACTGAACTGGCAGCTGCTGGAATCATGCTGCAGGTGCTCCAATCTACTACAACCACTTCAACCTAAATAATCTCAAATAAAAAATAACTGTTCAGTAATTAAACTTACATAAAAGGGTTTTGATAGTTCTTCAAAATGGCTGAAGAATTATAAATTAAATGTATCCTATATGTTTTCATATGGATCCATAGAACAAAGAAAATATTATTTGTGTTGCCTTGGCAACTGTTGGAATCGTGCAGCAGGCACTGTAGAATATGGCCATCAATAATCATGTACACAAACCTTGGTCCATTTTGGAGACTAGCAGAGATAGAGAGACAGACACATCCAAATTGAACTTATCAGTTGTATGGTGTAATATCAGACTGGTTTCTATGCTTGCCATTGACATTTAGATAGCTTTCATGTTGGAAACAAGTCTGTAGTCCTCCTGGCCATAATGTTAAACATCACACTTTCATCTTCACCTTCCAGCAATGGTTCTATATCATCCTTACGTGTTTAATGGTTCTATATATTCCTAATGTGTTTAATGGTTTCCATATCATCCAAAAGTGTTTAATAGTTCTATATAACCCTACGGTGCTAAATTATTCTATATAATCCTAAGGTGTTCAATGGTTCTATATAATCCTAAGGTGTTTAATGGTTCTATATAATCCTACGGTGCTAAATTATTCTATATAATCCTAAGGTGTTCAATGGTTCTATATAATCCTAAGGTGTTTAATGGTTCTATATAATCCTACGGTGCTAAATTATTCTATATAATCCTAAGGTGTTCAATGGTTCTATATAATCCTAAGGTGTTTAATGGTTCTATATAATCCTAAGGTGTTTAATGGTTCTATATAATACTAAGGTGTTTAATGGTTTTATATCAACCTTAAATGTTTAATGGTTCTATATTATCCTATGGATGGAATGGTTCTATATAATCCTAAGGTATTAAATGGTTTTATATCAACCTTATGTGTTTAATGGTCCTATATTATCCAATGGATGTAATGGTTCTATATAATCCTAAGGTGTTTTATGGTTTTATTTAATCCTAATATGTTTGATTGTTCTATATTATCCTATGGTGTTTAATGGTTCTATATAATCCCAAGGTCTTTAATGGTTTTATTTAATCCTAAGGTGTTTAATGGTTTTATTTAATCCTAAGGTGTTTAATGGTTCTATATAATCCTATGGTATTTAATGGTTCTATGTAATCCTAAGGTGTTTAATGGTTTTATTTAATCCTGAGGCCTTTTATGGTTCTATATAATCCTATGGTATTTAATGGTTCTATATAATCCCAAGGTGTTTAATGGTTTTATTCAATCCTAAGGTGTTTAATGGGTCTATATAATCCTATGGTATTTAATGGTTCTAGGTAATCCTAAGGTGTTTAATGGTCTGATATCATCATAAGGTGGTTAATGTTTTTATATTGTTTTATGGTTTCAAATGGTTCTTCATTATTCCAATGTGTTAAATAATCTGATATCATTCTTGGGTGTGGACCTTCTCATACACTTATGTGAACCATAACAGTAGCCTTAAGTCTACAATATCAATTCTTCCACTACTATGATGTAAACATCAACTAAATCTTCAATCTCTTGAGGGATTTATCACTTCATTCTATATCTTACAAGGAAGCATTTTTACTTCAAACTCACACAATGACAAAGCTATTTTATAGTATAAAAGATCATCACTTCAAAAGATTCCAATGCTAAATTAGTAAAAGCAAGCAGTATTGAATTATTTAGAAGTAAACCCACCGAGAGGTCCTACTCCCCAGAGAAATTATTGTAAAATTTTATGACCGTAAATTTTATTCACCTTAAAGTACAGATGTACCAAACTATTGATTAAAAGTCTGATCAAAACTCTTGAGATATATTATTATATATGCGACTATTGTTTTATATGACATCTAATTTATAACAATATACTATTGTACAACATTTACTTAATTGGTTTGAGAATTTGTGTAAATCAGATCACATTATACTTCCATGAAATCTGATTTTACCGACAGAATACCAGCGGGGCGACAGAAATATACCTTTTGGGGCAAATTAAAGTTGTATCACATATCAAAGGATGTCAAACTCAGGTGTCAGTAATGGCAGGTTTCACTGTAGTTTCTAGATTTATATTGAAAATGGAAACATTTCCTATTACATTACTGACAGTACCAACATCAATATACAAAGTATCTTATATGGAGCCTGTATTCAATTATTTGGGAAATTATACTTATATCATTGCTTTTACATCATTTCTAGTTAGAGATTTATATACATTGCATACATTGTCTTGTAAGAAAATCATTTATTGAAGGAAAAACACATACCATTATCCCCCTCCTCATGTATTATTTAAAGATAAATATACTGGCATTGAAAAAACATTCTTCTTCAAGAAAATTTTAAAGATTTCATGATCATACATGATTCACAGCTATACAAAGTGTAGAACCAGAGTTCACAGTACAAGAAACTTCCATGATACTCTTTATAGCCATCATGGAGGCTAGATTAATATCATCAAAAACTACTTCATAAAAGAACAGTTTGTAGCGACATCTATTTCATCAATCTACAAGTGGTTTTTTTACCCGAGGACAATACTAGAAAAATTCCCCACAAAATGTGGACATTAATTACCTTCTGCTGTGTATCTTGGCACTGACACAGACAATGGCCTTAGAGAGGCCATAGTGCCGTTTGTACAAGGGGAGGGAGACACGGGCGCGATCCAGCCCTCCCCTGCTAATGCAGCTAACTTCAGCACTGCGCACTTCACGATTGTCTTTGGGGTAGGACATGGGCACATATCTCACCAGTACATCTGTCCCCATCCCAACAAACCCCTGACCACACCATGGACTCTTTCTCACTGATTCTCCTGGTATACCGCTGTGGTTATCATCATACAGTAGTACTATCCACCAAGAATCAGATCACTTGTGCGTCAGTTTAATCCCAGCAGCTATAAAATTTTCAGGAATAAGAGAAATCTTATCCATATTTAGCTCTGTTTTTGATTCCATGGAAACAGTAAGATCTGAATCAGCTAGTCAGGTAAAGTGTGATACAGTCATATGGTATGATGGAGTTCTGCTCTCAGCAGGCAGACAACACCTGTCCAGGTGGATGGTCACATGCTAAGGAGGCAGCAGACAAGATGATCAGTACAAACACTCTGCCTAAAACATCAGCATCCTGTCACGACCTGCTGATGTAACATCAATTTATTCATTAGCTACATCAGGCCCAGACACATACCAGCAGAACAGTGAACCAGAACTATGGTAATCAACAGATGCCACTTAGGTCTGTTTGTCACAAGTCGTCTTCTCACCTGTAGCACAGGTGTAAATTCCTACCACATGACCACCACTTTTCTTAGATACATTCCACCGAAGCCAACTTATACTTGTAACATATGCACAGCAATTACCTGTTCGGGCCTTTAAATGCTGGTTTTGTATAAGAGGACAAACACTTTGTTGACCGGCGGGTAAATGTCCACTGACAATGACAGCACAGACTATTACAACTTTCTCTTTGATACAATACAAATACGACCCTTGAATGTCATATTAACATTGTTTGTCCATGATAAAGTGTGCTGGCTGAGTTACAGCTCCATGGTCTCTCCCTAATAAACTCCATAAATGTATCACATCTAACTTTAAACCTATGTATCCTTCTCCAGTACTTCCCTAGCACTGGTGTTTATGGTAGCAATGAGTCCCAGGCCCATTTCCTCGCGTGACTTCCTTAAACCATTGGTCCAACTCTGCTTAACGACCCTCCTTCTTGTCATACAAATGGAGTTAGGCACACAAGGGCAACCTTATCAGGGTTCCTAGGGACAGCAGATAGCCAGGAACAGGCCACAAGATGTTGTCATTTCATTATATTACCTGTGGCCTGGTCAGTGCTGTAATTGGTGTGTGGTATCTCGTCCAGCTCTGATTTACAGGGGCAGGCCCATTGATTCCGCAAAGCTGGCAACACACCGATTCTATCAAACCATGACCAAAAAGGCTGGATGGAGTTATGATTACAGAGTAAGTGATTAATCCACTCCCCTGCAGTGATGGAGAGAGAGTGTAATCAAAATCAATTACATGCCTCTGGTAGAATCAGTGATTACAGAATTATATGTAGCATTTCATTACCCTGCAGTTTTTTGTCTTTTTTTCTGAGGACTGTTCTCACTGTGTTTCAACTGAACTTCCTCTTCATGTAATATACCTGGGCAAAACATATTACAGAGCTGATTTCAGTCCTTTGTTTGTGACACAGTATTAAGTTTATTTCATTACAATATAAATCAAGGTTGTCAAATAACATGAACACAGCTGTGTTTCTATAACGAGAAATGAAAGCAATTCTATCGTCTAGATGAAATGCTTGTAAACAGAACACAAATTACGTCCACATTTACTTATAAAAGAAAAACTACCTCTACATGTATAATGTGGAAAGGTAAATTTTCAATATTTCTTTTCTGGCTTAAAATTACAACAATTATAAGATTGTGCTACCAATCTTATTTAAGGATATAAAATACAACTCTTAGTTAAAATATAAAACAGAATTCTTTTATAATCCTCAAATAGTGTCAAGAGATAAACGAAAATTGCAAATGGTAATAAAAATGTCCATCCAAACTAAATACTCGTAGCTATACAATGATTTTTGCCTAGTTTAATTTACAGCTGAATACAGACTGTTTCCTCCTGCAAAAAGGACTTTATTTTCAAAACTTCAAAATATCAATGAAAATAATGCTATATTTTCATGTAGGAACAAGCTGTTGAAAAATTGAGGGAGAAATAAAAACTCTGCAGACAGACAAATAGACAGGTTTGTGGAGTACACAGGTTCACATTACACAAACAGGACACTAACATATATCGATACAATGGGACCCAAGACAGAAATATACATTAAGTGGGACCTAGGACAGCAATCTACAGTAAGTGGGACCTAGGACAGAAATATACATTAAGTGGGACCTAGGACAGATATATACAGTAAGTGGGACCTAGGACAGAAATATACATTAAGTGGGACCTAGGACAGAAATATACAGTAAGTGGGACCTAGGACACAGGACAGAAATATACATGCAGTGGAACCTTGTACACAGGATACAAATATACAGTGGGACACAGGATACAAATATACAGTGGGACACATGATACAAATATACAGTGGGACACAGGATACAAATCTACAGTGGGACACAGGATACAAATATACAGTGGGACACAGGATACAAATATGCAGTGGGACACAGGATACAAATATACAGTGGGACACGGAAAACAAATATACAGTGGGACAAAGTATACAAGTATAAAATGGGACACAGAATACAAATATACAGTGGGACACAGGATACAAATATGCAGTGGGACACAGGATACAAATATACAGTGGGACACAGAAAACAAATATACAGTGGGACAAAGTATACAAGTATAAAATGGGACACAGAATACAAATATACAGTGGGACACAGGATACAAATATAAAATGGGATGCAGATACAAATATACAGTGGGACACATGATACAAATATAAAATAGGACACAGGATACAAAAATACAGTGGGAAACAGGATACAAATATACAGTGGGACACAGGATACAAATATACAGTGGTACACAGAATACAAATATACAGTGGGACACAGGATACAAATATAAAGTGGGACACAGAATACAAATATACAGTGGGACACACGATAGAAATATACAGTGGGACACAGAATACAAATACACAGTGGGACACAGGATACAAATATAAATGGGATGCAGAATACAAATATACAGTGGGACACAGGATACAAATATAAAATGGGGTGCAGATACAAATATACAGTGGGACACATGATACAAATATAAAATGGGACACAGGATACAAATATACAGTGGGACACAGGATACAAACATACAGTGGGACACAGAATACAAATATAAAATGGGACACAGAATACAAATATCCAGCGGGACACAGGTCAAAATATGCAGTGGGAAACAGGATACAAATATACAGTGGAACACAGGATACAAATATCAAATGGGACACAGAATACAAATATACAGTGGGACAAAGGATACAAATATACAGTGGGACACAGGATACAAATATGCATTGGGACACAGGATACAAATATACAGTGGGAAACAGGATACAAATATGCAGTGGGACACAGGATACAAATATACAGTGGGAAACAGGATACAAATATACAGTGTGACACAGGATACAAATATAAAATGGGACACAGAATACAAATATACAGTGGGACAAAGGATACAAATATACAGTGGGACACAGGATACAAATACACAGTGGGACACAGAATACAAATACACAGTGGGACACAGGATACAAATATAAATGGGATGCAGAATACAAATATACAGTGGGACACAGAATACAAATATACAGTGGAACACAGGATACAAATATCAAATGGGACACAGAATACAAATATACAGTGGGACACAGGATACAAATATACAGTGGGACACAGAATACAAATATAAAATGGGACACAGAATACAAATATACAGTGGGACACAGGTCAAAATATGCAGTGGGACACAGGATACAAATATACAGTGGGACACAGAATACAAATACACAGTGGGACACAGGATACAAATATAAAATGGGATGCAGAATACAAATATACAGTGGGACACAGAATACAAATATACAGTGGGACACAGGATACAAATATACAGTTGGACACAGGATACAAATATAAAATGGGACGCAGAATACAAATATACAGTGGGACACAGAATACAAATATACAGTGGGACACAGGATACAAATATAAAATGGGACACAGGATACAAATATACAGTGGGACACAGGATAAAAATATACAGTACACCTTGTACACATGGTCAATGAAACACAATTATACATAAAGTGGGACCTAAGAGAGAATTAACCATAAAGTGGGACCTAAGAGAGAATTAACCATAAAGTGGGACCTTAGAGAGAAGAATACTTAAAGTGGGATCCAAGAGAGAATTATACATAAAGATGGGATCTAGGAGAGAATTATAAGTAAAGTGGGACCTAAGAGAAAATTAAACATTAAGTTGGACCTTATAGGACAGAATTAAACATGAAATTGGACCTAAGAGAAATTAAACATTAAGTGGGACCTAAGAGAAAATTAAACATAAAGTAGGATCTGGAACAGAAATAAACATCAAATTGTGACTTAGGATACAGGTACAAACATATATATACAATGGGACCTTGCAAGCAGGACACAAAGGGACCTAGTACAAAGGACACAAATATAAATACAGTGGGACCTTGGATACGGGTAAGTATTTATACAATGGGACCTACTTTGAGGTCTTGTTTCTTTAGGTTTCTGTAAGATACTGGGTTCTATTTGGACCTCCATCTTCACAATATTATATACATCTTGATCACTCTTTGAAGAAAGTGACCATTTAACTAGACGATAACAGACACAACACCAGTGAAGACTTACTCCAAAGAGTACATGCACCTGTAGGTAAACATGCTAAACCCTTTATCGCAAAATCAGTTTGGCAGTTTAAAAATATTCAATAATTGATTTAAACTGTAATCATGTATATGTTTATACATGTACAGGTGAAGACACCAGGGCCATTCAGTTTATGCTAATGATTATAACTTTCATGGTCGATTGTAAAACTAGGAAATGATTTTACAAGTTATTAAATACAATTTTACAAAATTGAAAAAAAAATCAATCTGATAATTGGCAAAGCGTGTGACAAGCCTGGTAATACTATCTGTGTTTGCCTGATCAATGTTGGTGGATGTACAGGTCCTGTCATGCTTGTTCTCCTCAAACACACAAGTAGGGCTGGGGCCCTGTTAACTCCCTCCTCGTCAGTGTTAGGCTGGTTACCAGTGACATTAGGGGTTGCCTTTTAACAGTATTTCCTAACGTAGGATAGGTCATTTTCATTTCTCTATGTACCACATGTCATAGTTATGTAATTAGATAAAAATTGAAATAACAAAAAATAGAATTTGATTAAGCTAAATGAACTGTTGTATTTCACTTTCGTACCAGATCGTACAACTTTATGGACAATAACTGTGTCACATATATGCTGTACATCACAAACTGTATTATTTTAATATTGCAGACAATTCATTTTAGTTCCAATCTCATTTCTTAATTAGCTATGAAAAAAACCTCATTTCAGGGTGATCCCTAAGGAAATGTGGTTGACTTGAATTGTCAGGCAACCAAACAAACACTATCAGCATTTATAGCAAAGGAGCTATGTGAAAACAGAAACATGGCAAGAGTCATCAATAATAGATTGTAATTTCATAATCCATACCAGGTAAAAATAAGCTCTGTCGGACAAGATGTATAATTGATGTGTTTTGGTGTGGAAGCTCTAGGTGGAAGCATCCAGGGACCTCGTGTATGCTGGGTATTAATCGGTGACCAGTCAGATATGACTTACAGGTAGGAGGTTATACCCCCAACACACACACTACAGCAGTATCCAAGTCCTTCATTTGATCATCTCGCACCCCAAAATTATTCATAAATCATCATTAAAACAGGTAATTTTTATAATCTCAAAGAAAACTTCCAAGTGAAGTTTTTAAATGATGTGATAACAATTTGCAAAACATGCAATGTGCTGATCAATATACGAGGATGGCTGTATTTATGTGAGTTGATGAAAACATGAAACGGTACTCCAGCACCATTAGACAGGCCTAGCTATAAAGCTGGTTATCACCTGCCAGCCTCATCACCACCATCTACCATCACCATAGTAACCAGGTAAACTTTGTCAAACAGCCCTAGGGTAGATGTTAGCATGTCACATCACTCAAGCTCCCCTGACATTTACAGTTTTCAAACAATTTCTGGGGTTGATTTCATGCAGACGCAGCATCATGCTGAACAAATCAATATTTCACATTAAAATGGAACACTATCAAATGTAAATGTAATTTACAAAATACAGTTACAAACAAATTGTGATAATGCAGAGTGAACCCGATAGTCTGGGACCAC